ATAACTCTATAGAAAATTTTAATAGTTTAGATAATTATTACAAAGCCTAATAAAGTGAAGGCAAGACTGCCGAATTTTATAAAAAAATAATAATAATGCAACTATAAGATTATTTATATATAAAGCACAAAACTCAAACCAGTAATAACTAAAAAACAGTAGACTTTTTTGTCTTAATGCTAACCAAAATTAATAATATTTTAATAACTTACGTACTATATTATTAAATTTATAATAACTTACTAGTAACTTGATAACTTATTACTACTAACAACCTTGATCACATTATAAAACATATGAATTTCAAAACAAAAACCCATATCGATATATCAAAATAATTTATCTTTATTTAAAGATAATTAACTTTACATATATAACAACTACATACTTGAATTATCTACAATCCAGTTACTTCATAAGCACCTTGATGCGACCTGTCGCCTTTATGGATAAAGCAAAAGACTTTGTTAGCCCTGTTATGAGCCAAACAATTACTAATAGTTTAATAATTTATCATATTTATATTAATATTATAAAAATTGTACATTTATTTCAATATTCAAGTTTCGATTTGGAAATACTCGGGAAATTTAGAAATATTAGTGAGTCTAAAAGGGTTTCTTTAAATAACTTCAGTTTTCTTAAATTGGCATTTAAATCTTAAAAACAACCTGCTAAAGCACAAATGTACTTAGTATTTTCCCAACACTATTGTATCCTAGAATTACTATTTAGCGATGATAATTTAAATCATTGAAGTTTTTTTATTATAAATCAATTTACAAATAATGCCTATTTTTTTTTTAAATAGACTATAAAAAAAAAAATATACAAAGCATAAAGAATGTATAAATAAATATAAACCAAAATATTGTACCATATTTCATTAAATATATCTGATACCTCAAAATGAGAATATAATCATTACAAGATTATCACACCTAATGATTATTCACGATAATTAATTTATCTCATGCCATAGAAAGCTAAAAAATTTCTTGAGCCAATTTATTGAACAACTTACTCTTTCTATAATAATCATTGTAACACGTCGTTGGTTTATAAGTAAGGTTTAATTGTCTTTTTTTACATTGATTTATTTGTTTCTTATTGACATTATGTATATAGAACAAATGCAAGAATGAAGTCGTGTTCAACCCAACAAACAGCCATATTTTGAACAAAGGAGATCTAATATATAGGAAAATGAGAAAGTAGAGTAATATTAAAAAAAGAAAAAAAAAAGCAATTAAACAATGTTTATTATACATACGATTAAACGGCGCTGAACGACATTGAAGATATCATCACCATTGTAAAAACACGGGTCACATAAAACAAGAGATTGATAAAGTCACTCATCCTTGCGAAACCTTCCCTTCTTAGTTAGCGGTTCGATGAGCGGATGTTCCCAAGGCATTGAACGACTAAAAAAGCCCGATTCTGTTGAACTACCAAATCGTCTTTTTAAAGTATCGTTGCTAGCCAGAATACCAATGCCACCTTCCTGTCCTGTATCAATACAGTCAATTTCGTGTTGAATGGGGTGGTACATAATATTTGGTTGAAAAGAGAAGTTAAATTGGTCATGATCAGTCCCAAAGATGTTGTCCGACGCCGGCGAACCACCAGAATTAGAGTGTATGTGTGTGGTAGCTGCTTGAAAAGGAGATATTTGCTGTGGCGTTTGTACGAAATGTTGCGTTTGTTGTTGGGGTTGATGGCGCACGTTCATGGCATCGTCACGAGTTCGTTCAGTTTTTGAGTGAATGAAATTATATAAATCATCGACAGATATGAGCGCATCCCGACCGTCACCACTACTTGTCTGCTGTCTTTGTTGAACGTTTGGATGCGATGAAACAAATTCAAACAAGTCTTGTAGACACTGTTCATAACCGTTATCATAACGCTTTGTATGGTTCAGAGAAGTTTTATAAAGCTGAGCAACAGACTCAGCTGCGATTCGAAAGGACGCCATAAGCGCTTCCTCTGGTGACTCATCGGGATAACCTCGACTTTCAGGTGAATGGCCAGAATGGTCCATCGTATTATACGACCGAAATTACTGAGGTACGTGCTATTTGCAATAATTAGAAAAATTTATGTAAAATTATAATTAAGCTTATAACTAGCCCCACAATAAATATATTAAGCAAGAAAGGTCTCGCAGTTTCGAGGGAGCATGTACTTTGTTGGGAATCTTTGACGGCACGAGTAATGTGAGAAATTTCTTACCCTAAAACTTGCAACTACAATAAGGTTTTAGCAGGAGTTTTTGCAAACGTTTTTTTTTTTCAGAAACGGTTGTAAAGCAAAACGAAAGTTGTTATTTATAACATCTGGATACTTATATAGAATGCAAACCTTTATTGTGACACTAATCATCATGTATAAACGGTTGCAATCAGCCTCAGTGTGTACCCAAAGCTTTCAGAAATAGAACTATATAAAGGTGTCACGGGAACGTCTTGTGGTCCGTTCCAGTTTTAAAAATTCTGGAGCTTTTCGCCGTTATTTATTAACCAAGTATTAATCATGAATCTTAGCGGTCGGGGAAACAACGAACTATTGTTTATTAATTTCAATCAAGATTTCAGGTAACTTTTAAATAAGTTAGATACGCGTCTTCGTCACTTAATTCTTTTCGGTGTGTCACATTTATCATCAGTAAATTTTCAAAAAGTCAACTTTACAATGCTTTTGAGTTCTACATTCAGTTTAAATGTGAACGTGTATAAGTGTGTTATATTCTAAAATAATTACATCTTTTAAAAACTTTTAAAACGAAAGTTGCATCTCTGTCGGTACACAACATGGCTACAAGATATATAATTGTGACCCATTTGGAAAATGTTACTCAAAATGTAAGTTTTCTTTACTGGCATTTTATCGTATAAACGAAGTTGTCATTGGGTAGAATCCAAGACAAAAAATTGAACTAAACGTGAGGTCAAATAAATTTTCATGTAATGCGCCAAGTTTATGCGATAAATTTGAAAGGTCGTGAAAACTCAAGCTACTTTTAATTTAACGCGGTTGTGTTTTATTCCTTCAAATGTCCCATCTTTAAACAAAAAGCTGGTGGTGGTACTGGTATCGTTGAGATGCTTTTTTGTACTTCCTTGGTAGCTCTTGTTGGTGCAGGCGATCATCCATCATTTTCACCACGACGATTGCAAATTACCAATACAAAGGTATATTCATATTTAATTTAACATTTGATTTAAAAAGAAATTGGCTAACTGGTGACTATTTTTTTTTTTAAAAAAAAAAAAAGCGACAATCAACAATATGTGAACTTACCTTCCAAACTTCGATCTTAGCTGTTAAACTTAACCGTCGCCGATTAATTGTCGTTTTAGAGCAAACAATTTTTGTTTACGATATCAGTAATATGAAATTGTTGCACACTATTGACACTAGCCCGAACCCAAATGGTGTGATTATTTATTATGTTCTCAGTTATTATTGAACTTCTAATCATTTTGATCTATATATCCTGAATCAATTTGTAGCAATCTGTGCCCTTTCTCCTTCAAATGAAAATTGCTACATAGCCTACCCTTCTCCGATTCCATCGCCATCGTCACCTTTTTCCAATCATAGTACACAACATACTGCACCCTCTGGTGACGTCTTGATCTTTGACGCATTATCATTGCAAGTGGTCAATGTTGTTCAAGCGCATAAAAGTCCAGTAGCTTATGTAGCTATTAATTCTGAAGGAACTTTATTGGCAACTGCCAGCGACAAGGTATGCTTGTCATTTGCTTGCCAATATGAATTATTGTAAACTAAATATTACAATTACAATTTTACATTTAGGGAACTGTGATCCGTGTTTTTTCAATTCCTAATGCCCAGAAGTTGCATCAATTTCGGCGGGGATCTTATCCGGCCCGCATTCACTCTATCTCGTTCAACCTTGTGAGCTCGTTACTGTGTGTTTCGAGTGACACTGAAACTGTACATGTCTTCAAATTAGTTGGAAACACAGGTGGACCGAATAGTAACGCAAATGCGAATAATGGCACCACTAATGGTGCGGGAGCTGCGAATTCTCTCACTCGTCATTCTATCGGACCTACGACAATAGGAGGATTTGAGGCTTTCATTGATGGAAAGAAAAAGGGGTCTGGATCGGTTGGGTGAGTTGTTTTTGCAGCAATAAACGAGTTAACTTATGCATAATATAATAAATTCAATTGTTTATCGTCCATCATTTAAATTCGAAATACGGTATTAACAATTTAATTTATTTCGGACCTATTATCTACATCCTGGCGATAAAGTGCTATACGTCGTCAGTCTCTTCACCTTGGGCGCACTGTAGCTGGCAGTGTCGGTAATTACCTTCCGGATGCTCTTACGGAAATGTGGGAACCAACTCGCGATTTCGCTTACTTGAAATTACCTAGTTCGGGAGTTCAAAGCGTAGTTGCATTGAGCAAGTAGGTATCTATACATATATACATTTCATTATTGTTGATGAAAGTTATTGAAATTCTTATAGGGCTTAGCACTGGAGAAGATGTTTAAATACGGTAGTCGTGTTCGTGGAAAGCAGGAAGTTTCATTACATTTTGTTATTGACAAAATTTATTACTTAGTACCACACCTCAAGTCATGGTTGTTACGTCGGAAGGCTATTTCTATCAATATAATATAGATTTGGAAAATGGCGGTGAATGTGTGCTTCTCAAGCAATATAGGTAAGGAAATGATGTCATTTATAAGAATTTACTGGATCTTACGACTAAGAACAAATATTAAAATTTGTTATATAAACATAGCCTATTGGAACCGAACGAAGATTTAGGCACATCATTAACCCCAGAATAACAGGATAGAAATTGTCCGGCAACCCCGAAGCCGATATTTTGATGCCATCGTGGAGTAAATTGTTTAGTCGGTGGACCCGGTTAATTTATATGAGAGGTGAAATTAGTAAAACTCGCGATGCAAAGTATCATTTTTGATGCTTACTAGCATTTATATTATAATATAAGCAGTATAATAAAATTTTTAATTTCATGGGCGATACTTTTCATCGCGGATTTTGCCGATTTCAGCTAATATAGTTTATAATATATATTCTCATCAAGAAAATTCATATGATTCTAAATATATCTAGTCTCAATTTTGACATGTTCAGAATAAACTATAAAACAATAAAGCCAAGTTATTTGCTTTTATTATTTGCAATTTTTATTTTACAGTTATAGGACATGTCTTACACCAGTGCTGGGCTATGACCTTTTATGACCTATATGACTTACATGACTTATGATCATATGACTGGTTATATAAACAGAGCATATGACCTTATGACCTAAACTTAATTTAGGCCAGTATCATAAAATCGGCCCAAATTAACAAGTTGCTAATAATTAAAATCGATTTGAAATATCAAAATACATATGCATATATTTTTTAAAAAATTTCAATTTTTTCATTGAACGTAAAAATTAAAAGTCAAATTATAAAATGTTCTCCAATCTTGCTAAAATTTTTAAAATTTTAATGTATGTGTATTTTGATCTTCCAAATAAGGGGAATGGCTAAAGCCAGGTGTGGTCACATGACCATTCGATCAAATTAACATCGACGTAACCTCCAGAGTAAATGGCCAACATATAATATTGTTACACATATGCATGCACGCCAGAATGTAAGATAAAGATAACAATACAGTGATAACAAAGTTAAATGAAAAGTCATCTTTTATCCATTATACTAGTTAACGTACATATGCCAAACTTTCATAATTCACAAGTTAACCTCTTACCCATAGTCGAAGACATAACCAACTTGAGCTTTTCGTATATATATACTGTATATTGTTTTTAAAGGTTTTTTTTTTATCTTTTTTTTTTGGTAAAAGGTAAATATAGTTAAAACCTTTTTTTTTTTTTTTTTTTTTACAAAAGATGAATATAATCAAATCGGTTCTACTATAATAATGTATTAAGAGATATTGAAGACAACAAGATTTATATACCAAAGGGGTTCCTTAACAATAATTATATTAAAGACTTCATTATTAAAACACTTCTATTCCTTTTTTTTTTTAAACTGCTTTAGCAGCTTTTTTTTTTTAACATATAAAAAAGTTTATAGAAAACAATATAAACCTAGTTATTATATCTGTTTCTGAAACTTTAACCCCAAATCAAAAGCGCTTTCTTCTTTTCAATATTGGTGAACCACTAAACGTTTCACTGCAAGAATTTGTAGCCTCTTGTCTTAAACGTATAGACCATATTTAGGTATAGAAATCTAATTAATGGTGATTCATGGAAAGTTTTTATCTGCTGTTTTGCAAAGAGTAGTCCATCAAGTTCACAGCAAGAAGGAATACTACAGGAAAAACAGCGCAATACAAAAATTCGACCTGCTGGCTTATACTTAGCCAGAATAAAAATTACATGTTATCCTTTAAAACAGAAAATTAAAGTAGAACGATTTAAAGATTCACCTGATCATGGCCACTCATTGGAGGAAAGTGAAAAACTAAAGCATCTACAAGCTGTTCAGGCCCTAGTTGAATTGGAAGCCATAAAGAACTACCAACCGCCCAAAATAACGAAAACAGTAAAAGAATATGCAACAGAAAAATTGGGCCTAGAGGAGAGCGTTAAAGAATTAAAACACAAAGAGATTTCAAATATAAAATCCAAAGTTTATAGCTCTCTTAATACACATATTATTGGCAATCAAAAGCATGAGTTAAATATTCACGAAGCAGCTGCTTTCCTTGAAAATAAAGAATACAAAGTTGAGCGTTTTAAATTTACTAGTTAATCTATCCAAGGTCTTGTTTTTATACATCCAAATCAAATTAATAATTTTAAGTGATATGGATAGTTAATATTGATCAATTTGACTCACAAAACAAACAGATATGATTATCATCTATTTACTTTGTATGTTCATGACATGTACAGATGCTAGAATGTAGGTGCATATTTTTGTGAGGATAGTAGTACTGTTTCAAAGGTCTTGAAGATAATTCGTCAGTTTGCACATCAATAGGTGCTTAGA